GAATTACCTGTATCAACCAATACAAATTCTTGTTTTAATGTATAAAATAATTATTTTATATTGCTGACTTAATAACATTGCAAGGCCAACAGCGCTATAACTCATGCCTGAAATGTTTACCAAAAATACGTATTTTCTTCATAAGGCATTTTCATCTAGGCTTCCTCGCACACAGGAACAGAGAGAACTGCAGCTTGGAGACAATTTCTAAACAGCAAAATCTACAACAAAAAGAGACAAAAACAAACTATGGCCCTAAATAGATCAAGAAAAAGGCAACTCTTTACAACAGGAGCGCGGTATCAAGAAGGTAGACTGTGGGCTCCACTCACGTTGGCTGAGAACTTTGGCAACTCAGATTGTTCACCACCTGGAGACTTGCAGCACTGACTCGGAGTAAAGGGGAACAGCGAAATTGACTAATCTGGAATTGTCAAGTAAGAAGTCCAGCCTCTACTGTTTAATTAAAAACGTGAGCTGCGCAAGGTGATGTACCCCCGTAATTCTAGCACTCAGGGAGCTGGGGCAGGAGGATTTTAAATGTGAGCCTGGCTTGGGCCTCTTAAGAGCCTCTAACTAAAACAAGAACAAAACCAAAACAAAACACCCCGAAATTAAAAGCGCTGGGAGCGCGAAGGCCCTGGGTTCAACCCCTAGCGCAAGGGCTGGGAACCCGCCTCGGCTCCTTTCAGTCGCCTCTGCGCGTACAGCCCTCCCTCCTCCGAGGAGGCCGTCGTCTCGGGACCGCGGACGCCCGCCCGGGCCCTTCGGCCCCACGGCCTCTCCCGGCTCTGGCCCTGCTGCAGGCCTTCTCACGCATCATGAGGGACCTGGCTAGACACAGGCCCAAGAATGGCGAGCAGCTGGGACCCGGCTAGGTTTTGTCAGCGCTCTACGACGGTCTTTGGCTCCACCCCGGAGCGCAGCCCCCGCCTTCAGCGCCAGGCGCCAGCGAGACGCGCTCCGGTGACACCGCGCACGCGCGCGCAGACGCCCGTCCCGCTCCGCCCGCCCCTCGCGCACCCGGGTCACCCCGCGCCCTGCGGCCCGGCCTCAGTGGCTGCCTCCCGGTCTCCTGCGGTCCGAGCGATCCCGCGCTGCCGAGCCATGCTTCCTGCCGAGTGGAAGTCTCCCTTCCTGCGCCGGGTGTTTGTGGTGGGGGTTGGCATGACCAAGGTAAACAGCCGCGGACCGCCCTCCGTCCCGAGGTCCGAGGAGGCCGCAGCTGACGGGGTCCCTGCGGCTGGAGGTGCCGCCCCCAGCGAGTGGCCCTCGGGTGGGCAGTGATGCCCGTGTCTCCGGCGTGCTGGGGTCTCGCAGTTTCTTTTCTCCGTCTCTGATCAGTTATACTTCCTAGACCCTAAATGGAGCCCCAGGTCTGTGGAGCTCATACTGAAAGGGAAGCGGGTCGTGGATGTCAGCAGCTTTGCCCTCCTGGTAGGAGGAGGGACGGTCCCCGGCGCACTGTCGCACTGTCGGACCAGAAACGCTGGTGGTGCTTAGCGTCTTGGCACAGAGGTTTTCTGGGTCCTCTGATACCCTTTCTGTTTTCAAGCCTGATAGGAATTTAGGGGATTCCACAGCCTCATTTCCTGACACCTTGACATCTCCAGGCTCTAGTAACACCAAACTACCTTTACTTTCTGTTCTTTTATGCCTCTGTTGGTTTGCTTATGTTGCCACTACTTGCACTGTGGAGCTCACTTTTTTAAAAATGTCTTTGCAGTCTTAAAGGATCAGTTCCCGCGCTGCCTTCTCCAGGAAACCTCTGATCAACTTGGTTTTCTTTTCTACTGTCTTTTCGCTGAGACGTAATACACAACTCCTGCAAATTAAATGAGTTGAGGTTTACAGTTCGTAGAGGTTCTAGTACATAGTCTGCGGTTATAAGGCAGGACAGCATGACAGAGGGTTGTGGAAGAGGAGAAGCAGCTCTTGGCAGGGCAGGAAGAAGGGGGGGTGTCAAGGGAGAACAGAAGGAGTTAGGCTATGCTCCCAGCGACCTCCTCCAACCTTACTCCAAATCAGTTTTGGCCAGAAATTAATTAGTACTAAGTGAACAATTTCAGCATCCCTGAAAATGCCAAGTCCAAATTTTCCTCAGAGATTTAAGGCAAACTATGATGAATCTCTGTAAAATTTACAAATAAACGTTGCTGACACAGAAAGGCACAGAGTAAACACTCTCATTCCAAAAGGGAGAAATGAGGCGAGAGAGGAATGGGACCAGAGCAAGACCGAAACCCAGCAGGGCTAACATTAAATTCTGTAGCTCCATGTCCAGCATCCAGTGCAATCTGTGGTGAGATACGAGCTTCAGAGAGCTTGGGTGGCCCCACCCCTGTGACCCTGCCAGAGGGTATATAGCCTTTATGATCTCCTTTGGGCTGTGAGCGCTCACTCATTGCTCACTCCTTGAGGCTTTCCTCAGATGTCCCATATTCCTGGCTTTTCCAGCAGCCTGGGGCAGTGCTGTGCTTTCGGCATCACTCACATCTTCACTGCCCTCTCTGTGATATCACTGCCTTGCCTTCCAGGCTTCTGAAATCTGGGAGGAAGCTTTTCTGATTCTACAACTCTTATACTCTGCATGTACCTAAAACCAGCACCATGTTGGCTCACGCCAAGGTTTGCTGACTCCTGGAGCAGTGCTGAGCTGTTTTGCATTTTTCTGGTAGTTGCAGAGGCTTCTGAGTGCCTGGACGGCTGACAGTGGTGAACTGAATCTTGGGGAATGAATTCCCCTTCCCTAGGCTGTGGCTCTTTAGGAGCATGGTACCCAAGGGTCTGTCCCCAAAGCAGTCTTTCACTTGTGCAGTTCTGAGTCTTGGAAAGGTGGGGTCCTGTTCCCTGTGATGTCTGCGGGCCATCTTTTCTGTTGTCCTGTTCCAGAGAACTTGGCTATTCTTTTGGCAACTAAGCTGTCCTGTGCGCTGTGCAGACTCCACTTTTGCCAGTTTTCTTTCTGGCCAAACTCAAAACATTAGCAGGGCTGTTGATTCTTGATTCTCAATGTAGAGTCGGCTAAAAGCTGCCAGCAGGGCCCATACCAGAGCCTAAATGTTTGGCTGCCCTGATGTTTCCTCTGCCAGGTTAATCATTCCTTTCCACCTAATCCTAGTCTTCCAGATGAGTGAGGGGTGCACATTGTAGTCCCAACACTTGGGAGGCTGAGGCAGGAGGATTGCCATGAGTTCAAGGCCAGCCTGAAATACATAAGGAAACTGTGTCTCAAAATAAAAAATAAAATGCTAGTCTCCTTCAAAGTCTCAGGACATGAACAAAATACAGAGAAATTTTCTGCCACAGATGACACACGTGGCCTGGATCCACCTGCCAATGGAGTACATGTTCCCAGGTGAAACCTCCTGAGCCTGCTCTTCACTGGCTGTATTACTGTCACCATTCTGATCTTCTGAACTGTTGAAAATCTTCCATCGAGATCTTAATGCCTTCTAGGGCTGCTTCTCTAACCAGCATGTCCAAGCCTTTCCACACTCCTGGCAGCCAGTTCCAGAGGCTTCTAAACTGCATAATTTGGTACCATTGCAGCAATGACCTCCACTTCTCTGGTGCCAAAATCTATCTTACTTCCTTATTACTGAGTCACAATACCCAGCACTTGTGAATTAAAGGAGTAGAGGTTTATTTTATTTATTTATTTGTTTATTTTTGGCAGAATCAGGGATTGAACTTAGGCCCTTGCGCTTGCCACGCAAGCGCTTATTCTACTAAGCTATCTCCCCAGCCCTGTAAATCTGGGGACTTTAAAAAAAAATTTACATTTTTATTCTTTTTTATTTTTTGAGGGATACCAGGAATTGAACTTAGGCCCTCACACTTGCCAGACAGGTGCTGCACCACTAAGCTAAATCCCCTGCCCCTGGAATAGAGGTTTATTTTGGCTCACAGCTCGTGGAGATTTCAACCCTGACTCAAAGGCAGGGAAACCTGGCCAAAGGGCATAGCAGAGGAGAGAGAGCTCATGCAGGGCTGTGGGAAGCAAAGAGAGAAAATGCAGGACTGATCAAGGGAGGAGGAGCCCTGAGGAGCTCGGATCAAGGAGCTAGACCTTTCCATGTCACCCCCCATGACCTACCTCTTCCAACCAGGCTGCGCCTTGCAAGTCACCTTTAGCTGTAAACTCATCAGTGGATTACTCCACCAATAGTGTCACACTCCCATGACCTAGTCACTGCCCAAAGTCTCACCTATAAGTGCATTAGGCTTTACTGTAACATCTTTTTTTTTTTTTTTTTCCCCCCACAACTGGGGATTGAACTCAGGCCCTTGCACTTGCCAGGGAAGTGCTTATTCCACTGAGCCATCTCCCTGGCCCTTGCATTAGGCTTTAGAGGGACATCTAGCTGCAAAGCATAACACTACCACCTTAGTATTTACCAGGGTGTGCTGAAATTCTCTGTTCATATGTCTGTGTTCTCATAGAAGTGGGGGTTCAGGGTAGGCACCAAGTCTTATTTACTGCTGTCCCCCTGCTACTGTGAAGGTGCCCGAAGAGTCTTAGTGAATGTTAGGTGAACAGTCTGAAGTAGAGACAGTTTGTGAAAGAGTTTCTGGGAAGGGGTCATCTTTTATTTATGTCTTTATTTGGTACAGAGGCTTGCTATACAGCTCAGACTCATAGTGATCCTTTTGTCAGTGCTGGGATTACAGGCCTGCACCACCATGCCCAGTTTTGGTGGCCAGCATGGGGTGCCTGGGGTTCTAGGTCCCGCATAGTATGTGGTCCCGGGGTTCTAGGTCCCGCATAGTATGTGGTACCAGGGGTCAAACTTGGGTCCTTGCACTTTCCAGGCAGGTAAGTGCTTAGACCACAGAGCTATCTCCCCAGCCCCTGAAAGGTCTTTTAATACAGGTGAAGAGTAAAACTTTTTCTAGTGAGTCATTTTTAAGTATCTTCTGTTGGATGTTGAATTTCTAATTATATGGGCTATATTAAAAAGCACAGTTTGTTACAAAATTAGGAGATTTGAGTTACGTCGGGCCGTTATTCTGGGTGCTGGCTTGAGACCTGCGGTCCTTGCCGTTTTGTCAACGTCTTTGCGCTGCGGCAGTTCCAGATGCCAGGGTAAACTGCACGCAGGAAACTATGTCAAAGAATCTTCTGATGTCATAATTTCTGGGTGTTACTGGAACCTTTGATCATCATTCCTTTGGCAGTTCCAGCTTTCTATGGAAGGTTTTCAGTGAATTATGGTTTTACGGTTTGGAACTCAGCCAGGGAGGTTTCCAGTGGAAGGAGGAGATTCTTCAATTGGACGAGAATCAGGGCTGAACTCCAGTGCTGCCTGTAACAGGAATGAGATATTGCCAAACAGGCAACTCCGAAGATGCCCCGCAAGTCATTGCCTGACAATAACTGATGTTCCCATCACTGTCTATGCAACAATGCGAAAGCCACCTGCGCAAAGCAGCAGGGAAAGTCCTCCTAAATAGCATCATTAAGTCTTCGGTGGAGGGTTGACTAGGTCAAGAATAATGGGCCGGTATCGTATTATGATCTGGTAAACAAATAAAAGTGGTGGCACTGTTGGATGATGAAAAAAAAAAAAAAATTAGGAGATTTATTTATTTTTTTCTCAGGCTGGGAGATGGAGGTGTGAAAGATGATAGCACTCTCCCCTGAGGGAAGGGGTTGGAAGTGTGGAGAGAGCTCTTAGCCTTTCAGGATCTATCCTACATGCATAATGTGTGTTGTACTCAAGGGATGGAGAACATGGGAAAGCACAGTTCTGTTCTTTTTTTTTAATGAGCAGAATATACTTATTGAGAGAAAGAAAGCTCCTGTCCCGAGAGAGGGACAGGAAGGGGGAGCCCCAAGCAGGTAGTTCCCCCCCGGGAGTTGTCTCTTGCAGGGAGTTTTATAGAGGGAAACCATGTGGTGAGGCGGGTCTAAGGAGGTGGAGAAGACATGGGAACTAGAAGGGTAATGGTTGTATTGAATGGAATTTCTGATCTTAGGTTTTTTTTTTTTTTGAGGAATTTCCATACTGATTTTCTTTTTTTTTAAATTTAAAGAAAAAATTTATTGAAAACTGAAAAGCATTTCCTAAAAGATTAATTTTTTGAGAAAACTGTAGCTACACAATGCATTGTGTCTATCATGTTAAAACATGCATTAGACACAAATACAATAGCCATGAAACAATTCATCATTCTTCAACAATTTGAGCAAAGATAAAATGCCTAAGGAACAACATGGACGACTTGCAAAGGAAGGGCTCTTTGAACACTGTTAAAAAAAAAAAAAAGAGCACAAATGGATATATGTGTTCAGTTATATGCATTGAATTGTACTTTGGCACTAGGAATCAACATTTTGTCATATAGCATTAACACATATTATAAAAGTACGTAATATCAATGGAATAAAACCACCAGCATTCAAAAGCAGCTTTGTCAACTAGGCAATAAAATACGCCATGTCTCTCTGTTGTCCATCATTGAATGTACTGGCAGCAACTTTGAAATGAAAAAAAAGCCCTTTTATTTTCTGTTTAAAATCAAACAAAACGAACATCAACTTTGTTATACACTAACATCTTCAAAGTACATTTGTACAAGAGAAAGACAAGGAACAAAAACATGTCGACAGAGAGCCAAACACGGGTGAGTGTACCTCACAGTGCTTTCTGATGGTACTCAGGAGGAGCCATTTCATAATCACTAGCACTAAACAAAGTTGCCAAATTCTTCGCCAGATACTTGAGGAAATCATGAAAATAATTCAGTAATAAAGCAGGGCTCTTCTCTTGCAGAGGTGTATAGGCCAACATTGTTCCAACTGATACAATAATCTCAGTAGATGTGGTGCTCCGTATACCTGGGACATGGGCGTGTCTGGCTGATCAGCAAGGATCCCAGTGTACTGTGATCTCTCAGATTTGTAGAGGAGCTGAGTGCCCAGCATCATGTTGATGTATTCCTTTTATCCCTGCTACAACGTCATTAACAGCATACTCCTTATTATCCGTGTTTCCTCGAGATTTCTTATAATTTGCGTAATCCTCTAGAATGGAGTCCACATTCTTCTTGGCAGGAAGGTAAAAGAGCTGTTTCTGTCTGGTTAAAGTCCTAGTCATCAACAAGCCACAGTTTTAGCTCTTCAGGGATCTTTAACTGCAACTCTGTTCATAAATATTTCTTCATTTTCAACAGGATCAGCCCGGGCCCTTTGGAGAGGGGGAGCAAGGGGTGGGGGGGAGGGAGAGAGAGAGAGAGAGAGGAGTTCCTTAACTACCTGCCCTAGGGTGAGTGTAGCACTCACACCCTAATCCCAGCAGGGTATTGCTAAATTGCCCAGGATAGGCTTTAGCTGTCAGCTCCCCCCACCTCAGCTGGAATTATAGGTGTTCACCAACAAACAATGCTGCTGTAACCCACCCTGTGTTTTGTTTTAAATTTGTAGTTGAGGGGCTGGAGAGATGGCTCAGTGGTCTAAGGCACCTACTTAGAACAAGCTTGGCAAAGCATCAGGGACCGCGGTTCAATCCCCCAGCACCACATGCCA